GCGTCATCGCCGACTGGCTGAAAGTGCCGATTCACACTCCATTCCAGTAGTTGGCGGTAATGCCCCACCGGAAGTTGCTTGCCAACAAACACAAAACAGAAGAAGAAGAACAAGTATAAACAACAGAGATCTTCTCCACGCAACATTTTCAATAATGGCTTCAAAAGAGCGTGGTGCGACCTGGGATGACGCCGAGACTGAGGCCGTTATTGCTATATGGGCAGAGGACGCTATCCAGGCGATGTTGGAGGGCGCGAAACACAACCACAAAGTGTTTAAAAAGATTTCGGACGAAATGAGGGTAAAGGGATACGACCGAGACCCGAAGCAGTGCCGAGAAAAGATAAAAAATCTTCGAACACATTATAAGAAGATTGTCGACTACAATAACAAGTCGGGGAGAGGAAGAAAAACGTGGAAGTTCTACGGTGCCATGGATGAAGTGCTGGGCCTCCGTGCATCGTCGAGACCTCCAGTACTTATAGAGACCTCTTCTCTAAACCCTGCAGCAACAGGTATGTTACCGAAAATCATTAGTTTTTTATTCTGTTGATCTACTAATCTACTAAGAAATGTCTTTAGCTGCACTTTTTCATTCATTTTTTTGTTTCCATTTTAGTGGACGATGATGCAGCATCGGACCACGAGGAGCATGAGTACAGCACGCATGATGGTATGTAGGCTCTACAGCAGCATGTCCACATTTATGCTTCAACAACCTTTGTTTACAATATCAATGTTAAAATTACAAATCTGCTGCAATTAAAAAATGTGTTCAATTTAATCTTTATATCTTTCTCTATCAAATTGAAATCTTTGTTTACCCTAAGTAGGCTCTACAGCAGCATGTCCACATTTATGCTTCAACAACCTTTGTTTACAGTATCAGTGTTATCAGTGTTAGTCCTCCAGCAGGGCTCCTCTTGGTGAGGCTGGAACATCTCAGGAGGTACAGTAGCTACAACAGATGTCTGAGCCACATCAGCTAACACTTTTTGATTGAAAGTGTTTGAAGTGGCTCTACACCACGCATATCTCAGATGGACTACAGTAGCTCCTCACCTTATCTCTAGGGAAGTG